ATCAAGAAATTTTACAGTTATATTGTAAATTTTTTCAATTAAAAAAAAAAAAAAAAAAAGGTGCAGATTTCTGAGCATCAAAAGTTGAACAATTTTGACTTCTGAAAATTCAGATATTTTCATGTTTTTGTAGAAAATTCCAAGATCATTTTATTATTTATCATTCATATAGTTGTTAATGTATGAGGTGTTGTAAAACCCCAGTGGTTCATGAAATAAATATCACTTTAATAAATTACAATGATATACAAAACTCATGTCATTAAATACATTGTAACAGCCAGGATTCAACTCACAATTTGGAAAAGGGAAAAAAATAAATGAAAAATTTTCATAAACAGCTAAATGTGTAAAACATCTGAGGAAAGATGAACACAGATGCAAACAGACAAGAGTTTACAGAAAACTTAATTAAGTTTTGTGGAGAGTTAATAAATAAATCCTTAAATATTTTTGTTAGTTATTTCAAATAACTAACAATGGTGCCTCCATGTTTGGATGAGATCACCGGGTCAGTGTCATGATTAACAGGAAGAGGATTTCAAAATAAAAGCTTTTTATGTATAATACTTAAAAATACTAAACACAAAAAAATAAACAGCAAAAGCTAAAGTGTAACTGAAATTAAATGCAAATCATCTGAAATGATCTCCAGTAGCAGTCAGTCTCACAACAAACCTGAAGAGGCCTCTGACTGAAGACACTGCTGCTGACTGCCATAACATGCTAACAGCTCAAAGCAGAGATGATATTCCACTGTAAGCACTGCTAATCCTCCTCATTTGCTTTTGCTGCTTTCTTTAAATCGTTTTAGCCATTTGAGTAGAAAGTCGAGCAGAGAGATGTTGAAGTTGAGGATATAATCTTTTTTTTTAACTTCTTCCTCCTCTCTGCATCCAAGAAGCCTCCATTCTTTTTCCACTTCTCTGGAATTTGGAGTCGTAGTTGTGGTCTTATTTCAGCTATTGATATGCTAATCAGCTGTTCCCACTTGTTGCCACGGTTACACGTTTAAAAATAAAAACAAAAAAATTGTTCCAGTTGGACAGCATTCCATACCAGAGAAAAAAAACTGAACATGCAGCTCGTAAACTAAAACAATAACAACAAAAAAAACAAACAAAAACAAACAAAAAAACAGAACTGGCATGCTAAGATCATGAACAGAGTAATTATAGAAATTTTGACTGAATTAGCATTTAATTAAATTCTGATGTGGGATAAAATAGGGAATGCTTCTTAAAGGGCCAGCAGCATTGTGTTAAATAAACTTTTCCAGCTTTTTATCAGGTTATAAAGTTATTCCCTCATCAAAAACATACCTGGAGTGTTTTTTTATTCATTCATGCATATTTGAGAAATCATTTAATCTCCATGGCAACCATTCAGCTGTGCAAAATTGACCTAGCTCCGCCTTCGAGATGAAGCTCCTCCCCCACTCAGCTCCTTCAAACTAGCCAGCAGCAATTAGCAAACATCTAGTGGAAATGCAAGCGCTGAGCTCATTATACCAGCTATGACTCAGTGCAGTGATGGTAAAAATGTTACTATAGATGATGTGATGACTTCCTGAGGGCGGAGTTTCAGAAAGAGCAGGAGTTCTTAAAGAGACAGACGCCCAATAGGAACTTTTAAAGGTATCTTATTTCAGCTAACACTTTAAAATTCAATTTGATCCCGTGCCCTCGTCTGTTTTTACCGTTTTATTATTTCTACACTATTGATAATGTTTGTTGTAAAGTGTGCAGCTTGATCTCACCAGGCTGAATAAATAAACTTTAATAAAGTAACACAGACTGCTGCAGGAGATCATTCCTGCCCACAACCATCAGCAGCTGTGGCAACTCTTTGAAGAAACTTGATTTATACAAGTTACAACATTTAATTTCTCTTTGTGATTAATAAAGTTCTTTATGAACTGGATTAAATATTTTCAGACTTTCCAGCTTGTGCTTTAATTTTGAAAAAATGAACAACTTTAATATTAAAGTAAATGTTCTCTTATGAAAGTACAACTTTTTTAAATTATATTTTTAATATTTGTACAAAGCAGCTTAATGTTGTGCAGGACAAAAAATATTCAGTTTCTTCACTTCAGCATGTTTACAGACTTGATTGATGTTTTTCTCTACCACAGAGAAAACATCCAGAGCTTTGATGAACACTAGTATTTTTCTACATGGTTCTCTGCCTTATCAAAATAAAAATAAATATAATAATCTAGGTTAAATAAAGGGATGATTTAAACCACGATGAGCTGGCCGTCCTTCTGCCGGTCGACACGTTGAGCGTCTCCAAAGACGAGGAAGATGCCGAGGCCGGTGACGTTTACCAACGTGACGAGGGAGAAGACGACGGACCACGACAAGGTGACCTCGATCAGGTAACCCGAGAACGACACCAGAACCAGACCTGCTCGACACACAGCAGGCAGAACTCAGAAACAAACATTCACAGCCAACATCTAGAAGGTTTCAGGTCTAAATACTCACCCATTAAGGCTCCCATCATGTTCATAAACCCTGAGGCACACAGAGGGAAGAAGTCCAGTAAATGGTTTTATTTATTTCATTAATTTATTTTCAAATGAACAGGGAAACAAAAGGTTTTTAATGAAAAAGAGCAGTTGGAAGAAAACCACATTCGCAGTAACAGATATATAAGCTGCGTTTCCATTACCAACTTATGCAAAACTTTGATATTCTGCTCAAGTCGAAAAAACCGATTTGCAACTGCAGTGTTTCCATTAAACAAGAAATGCAACTAAATTCACACTTGAGCAAGATTGTTTACGCAATAATTTATTAAAAAACATCCAGCGCCATCGTCCTCCCACCACTTCCTGTCATCGTCGTTTTTTCATCAGCAGTAACATCCAGATGTTTATCATGTGACACAACAAAAGGGTTTCCGTTTTCACAAAACACACTAATTACAATACAATTAAAAAAACCTTCTTCTTACCACCAAACCTTTAGAGTTTTTAGGAAATGGCCACGTTTTCATTAAGGCAATTTATCTTCGAAATGTGAAATTACACAATTTTAAAGTACAAACACAAGCTAAATAAACCAAGTCAAATTAATGAGCTAAGATAAGGCAAGCTAAAATAAGTTGAGAAAAGCTAAAATAAGCTAATATAAGCTAGGCTAATATAAGCTATGCTAATGTAAGGTATGCCAAGTTAATATAAGCTATGAAAAGATAAGCTGATATAAGCTTATATAAGCTAAATTAAGTCAAAATAAGCTAAGTTGATATAAGCTAAGCTACGCTGAGTAAATATAAGCCCAGATAAGCTAAGCTATGCTAAGTTATAATGCTAAGCTAAGATAAATTAAACTACATTAATATAAGCTAAGTTAATATAAGCCAAGATAGAAAGCATATCTTTGTAATGATAAAGCACTCTGAGTCAATATCCTTCATATTCCTTGATGGAATATTATATTTTATAATTGTGTTAAAAGTAAAGATTGATTTTCTCTCTTTGATATTTGTGGAACAACCTGTCTAAAGAAACCAACCAATAAATGAGAAGAAAGCGTTGAATGGAGCCTCACCGTAGAGCGCTCCAGCACATGATGGAGTCAGATCTTGCACATTCACAGACACGCCACTGAAACACACGAAACAATGACAAACATTAATAAAACTTCCTCAAAATATTTATGTAGTGGTTGAAAAAGTTGCACTTCCTTTTCCTTTCTATAAACTTCCTCGCCTGTATAATTTCAGCTTGATAAAAACGTCAGAAAACAAAATCTTACAAAGTATTTTTGGTCCAGTTTCTAGTGCAAATGTCTTAATAGACTTGAAATAAGACAAAACTAACTTACAAGTAACTTTTCAGTAAGATACATGAGGCTTGTTTTAAGTCAAAAACTCCTTAATATTGATTTTAAAAAGTGCCAGTTTCAGATGATTTCACGTACCCTGCGGTGAAGGTGGTGAAACCGACGGCAGCAGAAATGAAGACGACAGCAGACGTGAAGGAGACGGATCCAGACAGAGGCAGAATAAACATGCTGGAGAGACCCATGGCACCAAACTGCAGACACACAGACAGACAACATTTATCATAGCAGCTAACAATTATTTTAAAAACAGATTATTCTGACAATTAATCAGACAAAAAAATGGCACATTCTCCAAATTTTTAATTTAACCACTTAAGCTTATTTTATACATCAGAAATACATAAAAAATATTCAATTCCTTTTGTAAATATATTTTTTATTGTCCAAAATGCAACATACAAGTCATTTAGTGAACGTTTGATTATTTATAGCAAACGAAGAATCAACGTGTGAACAGCTCAGCGCTTTCTGCTTGACTGAACATCAGTATGGGGCATCCGTTTATTTATTTGATTAACCCATCATTAATAGATTTTATTTACAGAAGTTGAACCAGGTTAAGCAAAAACTGCCACTTGAAGAGTTTTGGGTAAAACATATATAGAGACAGGTTATTTTTTTTATCTTAAAAGCAAAAAAAAAATTAGACAAATAAATAAATATTGGATCAATACCAGCGTGATAAGTTTGATGCTTTGGATTCCCTCTTCAAATTTTATTTTAGTGTCATAGTTTCTCATCTTTACCTCAAAAAAAATGTTATTTTGATTTCCACTTAATTTATTAAGAAACAAATTCACACAAATTTGCATTGCGGTTTTTATTTTTTTAATTCTTTATCGCATTAATATGATACTGAAGTATTTTGTTGACACCTACAAACTTTGTCCAAATTCCTTCCTGGGTTTTAAAATGCAGCTCTGGAAAAACTAAGAGCCCACTGCACTGAACCCGACTGAAAACCTCCTGGTTTTCCCTCCAAATATTGATTTCTGAGTTAAAACATTATTATTGTTGTTTCTAAGAGAATATCAACTTGTTTTCTTTGCATTATTAGGTCTGAAATCACTGCATCTTTTTCATTATTTTGACCATTTCTCATTTTCTGCAAATAAATAAAAAAATTTTGCTTGGAGTTTCAGACATGTTGTCAGTAGTTCATAGAATAAAAGAACGATGTTCATTCTACTCAAACATAAACCTATAAAGAGTAAAATCAGAGAAACTGATAACTGTCTTAATTTTTTCCAGAGCTGTAATTCAGAGGAAAAAACACAAAACAACTTAAAGGTCAGAAGTTTGATGATAAGCCAAACTTAAATAATAAAAAGTAACAGTATCGGCGATACTGGTTCTGTATCTACTTGGCATCGGATTTTAACCAAAATAAGCAGCATCACACACCTCTAAAGTAAAACGAAAAAAAGTTAAATTTCATCTCTCCATCTTTCATTTCAATCTGGAACAAAATGCAAACCCATCCACTAATAGATCTGAAACACGTTTCAGTTTATAAAACATGAAAACATTGCAGTAATTTCTACACTTACTTGCATTATTTTTCTCACAGATGCAACACTGTATCCTGCAGAAAAACAAAACAAAAACCTGTAAATTTGATTTCCTCAAAAGACCGACAACTTTAGGATTCACCACACATTTTGCTTTCGTACCTTTTGTGATGAGAAAATCCGACACAAATCCTCCACAAAGACCTGAAGGGATCGCCATCAACCAGGGAACCACATTATACACCCAGGGCTGCAAAACATACAGATACTGACATTAATCAAGAGCAGAGATTCACCGGATGTCTTCAGTGACGTTGTGGAGGAGTTACGGTTGCGTGAGGAAACGATTCCTTGAAGAACATCGGCAGCCATGACAGCAGCGTGTAGGACGTGCTGCAGATGCACATGTGAGCGAAGACCATGGCCCTGAGAGAGAAACGACCCGCAGAGTGAAGAGAAAACACTCAAAAGATTCAACCGTTTAAAGTTATCTGGAAGCTGTACCAAACTGGAGGCTTCTTGAAAAGGTGCAGCCAACGTTTTCTGGACAAACTTGGTTGAATTTCGCTCCTTTTTTCCATCTGGTTCACTGCAATGTCGTCTGAGAAACAACATTAAATGTCAGATTTAAACCGAACAAAACAGACATTTAACAATTCAAACGACCTTTAGGAAAATATTCAGAATAAAATGCTATGACATAAATCTCAACATGTGACTTTATATATTTTTAATGCTTTTTTTTTTTACTGATTTATTAATGTATCTGTTATTTTTCTTGGTTAATTTTGAATTTGTTTTGTTTTATTTGATGTTCCTTTTATTTTTACTATAATTTTTGCATTTTCCTAATAATATTGTAGCAGTATTTATTAATCCCTTCATATTTGTTTATGTTATACTCGTTTTCTGTTACTTTTTTCAGTTATCTAGTTGTTAATGGTTGTTTTTACTACTTAGTTAGGAGTTTTACTATCTGTTCTTGTTTTTTATACACTTTTTTGCATTACCAATTGTTCTGCAGTGCTTTAATTTCAGTTATTTTCAGTCATGCTATGTAAATTATTTTTATAGATTTTAAATATGCAGTGTTAGACGTGAACTTTTGCTCAAGTTCCTTTATTCGTTATGTACACATAACACTAACATTTTTTAGTGTTATAGTATAATTTATTTTTCTAATTTCTGCCTCTTGACACTTTAAACATGGCAACCAAATTTATTTATATTAATGTAATAAGGAATTTATTGTTTCTGAAAACCTCCTCATGTTATCCTCTTTATATGTAAAATATCCCCAATAAATTTCAGAAAATATAATAAATATAAACAGCAACAGCAACAAAACAATTAAGTGATTTTAAATATTGATGTCTAAAATATTTAACACATCAAGATGTCCAGAAGCCAGATTTACCTCTTAATAAGTAATACTTCACTGTGACGGCCCAGAGTCCAGCCAGCAGACCAGTACAGTAGAACATGCTTTCCCAGCCGTACCGGTCCAGCATCACGGACCCCATTCCACCCGCCAACAACGTGCTGAAAGAAACAAGGGAAACTATTGCTTATCAGTAGTAAATGCATGTTTAGATGTAAAGTAATGTATACGTGTGTGCAGAACGTACCCAAGATGGCTGCCGCTGTGCATGGTGCTCATCAAGAACCCCCGCTCAGCCTCCACAACACGCTGGGAGCACAGGCTGGCCAGAGACGGGAAGAACACACCTGCAAAGGACGACGTGAACTCACTGCAGAAACTAAATCTTACCAAGTATTTCTGGTCTAGTTTCTGGTGCACTACAAATAAGATGAAACTAACTAAAAAGTAACTTTTCAGCATGATTCTGGAGATTATTTTAAGTAAATAACTCCTTAATATGGATGAAAAAGGTTATATTATTCACTTTGCAGTGCTCCATCAGAGTTTGCCCTGAGCAGCTGCACCCATTTAGATGCTAAATATGATCGTTATGAAATGGTTTTTAGGCCTGTTTCATCATGTCAAAAGTACGACGGTGTATTAGGGCCATTGTAGAGAAAATGTCCCGCCAAACAACTCAGAAGGGCTAAGAATAATCTCAGAAATTTTTGAGAAAAATCTCAGAAATTTGTGTTTGAAAAGATAATAACTTGCTGGAAAAAAAAAACTTGAAAATGTTTAGATTAATTTCAGAAATTTTGTAGAAAAAAAATTTAATTTCTGAGTTTGAAAAGCTAAAAAAAATCTAAATTTTGAGATTAATCTAAAAAACAACAACCCCAAAATTAATTTTTTTATTGTTTTGGAGAATTTCTGAGTCTCAATAGTTGAATATTTTTGATTTTTCAAACTCAGAAAAGTGAAGTGAAACCTCAGAAATTTCCAAAGCTCTTATTTTTTTATGGAAACCCAGTACTCCATTTTCCCCTATACACTGGCCCTAATGTCATAAAAGGGCCTGCACATGACTTTAGCACTGAATAAAACTTAAACACATGAATTTTCATGCTTCTGTTGGTTCTTATTTGCTCAGAGAAACCGCTGTCTATACCAACCCTGGAGTAGACCCATCAGGACTCTGGCCACCGTCATCAGAGCCAGGGTGTGGGGGCCCAAATGGGCCAGCACCGGGGTCCCAGCGGTGATCAGAGCCCATGAGGCCGCAGAGATGAACAGGACGCGCTCTCCCCCCACTCTGCAGGGCAGCAAGAGGGAAATCCTGAAACTTTAAGCCTCACTTCAACATAAACAGACTGCGGACATTGTTGAAGTGAAGCCATCCGTGTTTCTGTGAATGAATCGCTTACTTGTCGCTGGCATGTCCTCCCAGGATCTGGGTGAAACAGTATCCCCAGAAGAAGCCGCCCAGGACGAGTCCCGAGTCGATTTTACTCCAGTGGAAAGCGGCGGCCATTGAGACGGCACAGACCGGCGTGGTCATCCGAGCGCAGTACAGCAGGCAGGTGCCCAGAAACAGCGTCACCGTCCATTTTCTAGCCAGGGATCTGCAAACAACTGCAGCTTAATGACGTCATAAACTCAATTAATGAGTTAATTTAACGCTGACTGGTCTTTTTGACAAGCGGCCATTTCCTTACGAACCTGAGTTTTCTCTCAGGCCTATTACGACCGTTATATCAACGGTCATAACATAATATGCTAACGCATATACTATGCTAACGCTGCTCTGTCATACAGCACCTGAATTGAATGAGCGCTATTGAGGTGGAACTTATGGAGCTTTTTGAGTGTTTATATTTCATAACAGAACCGAATAAAGTGCATTTTGCATCCCACGCCAGACTCAGGACCATCTCTCCTTCCGCTATTTTTTGTTTCTACATCAACGACTCTGCTTTAAATGACCAGTGGCGCCCTCTGTCGGATGGCGGCCAAACTACAACACTGAAAGAACGTCTAAATCGGACGTAATTAGTAAATCGATTGGAACTCATTTTAATCTCCTAAACAATTAACCCCTAGATTACATATAATTTACTATTCACTCATACTTCCTTACATGTGTGGAAATGTGGGGTTTCACACATATTATAATCAATATAGTTCAAAAACGAGTCGTATATGAACAGACAAATCCTGTTTTGTAACTCTTCTATAAAATGTTATGACTTGATTCATTATAAAAATAATGCAAAAATGTTTAGAGGAAAATAAGGTTTACGGCTCCCTGGCTTCTGCCTGTATCTTTTCAGTCAAACTATTTAGTGTTTTGAAGTGTGGATGGCAAATTATTTGATGACTGACTGAAAATAAAAACCAGCCAATATGCATCATCATTTTCACTGACCTTTAAAATAAGGTCAGTGAAGCATGACTTGTAAAACTAGCAGATAAACTTACATTCAGACAAAATATAGAGTAAACCCTGGGAAACACAGACACACATGTTAATATTTAGCTCCCAATTAAAAGCCTAAGTCTGAGCATATTTAGCTTGAAAACAAATTAAACATTTATTTAGAAATTAAATATTTGGTTACAAAACTATTTCTAAAACTAAAACTATGAAAAATATGACTTTTAGAAATGAATGCCAGCATTTTTATGACAGGTTAATAAACGAAATTATTGCTGTTTATTTTTTTTACTGTGTAACGTTTCAAACGATAGTGCAAACTTTTTAATTTTTTTTACCAATACTTTCTTTTACTCCCACCTCTGTCTGCGGCTGAAAGTTGGTTGTTTCCGTGATGTAAACTTTCAGTTTAACCTTCATGAAGTGGGTTATTGCCGCGTTCCTGTTTGTTGCCGCTTCAACAGAAATTATTTCCTTATACCCGGTTATTTTTCAATTAAGCGCTTTTACTTAAAAATGTCCAAATTGATCAGTTTCTTCCTTCACGTCAACGTGGCAATCTGAATGTTTTTAGGAGGATCTTGAACTTACAGAGCAAGTAGAGGCTTGTGAGATAAATGTGTTGAGCCGCAGAGAAAAACTTTACTAAACCTGATTCCACAAAGTTTTCAGTCTCACCTGGACCACAGGTTCTGGTTCTCCAACTCTCCCGCGGGTTCTTCGGGTCTATAAATGTTAAGATCCAGAGGAGAAGCCTTTAAATCTCTTATTTGACCCGCGCTGTGGTTTTCAGCCATTCACCCAGCACCGGTATCTTCTGTCTGCTGCAGTCCGTGAAGCTCTTCCGCTCTTTCTCATATCCACCTCATATCCACCGTCACCAACCGGCCGAACTAACCCGACTTGCTGACGCTGGTGTCTGTCAGCAACTGGAACCGGTTTCCATTCCTGACAGTAGATGTGTAAATGCTGCTTTCACCGGGAGACAAATTTGCATGTTGACTGTCTGTAAAAGGACAGAGGTGTGTGTTGTGACTTTGTTAAACTTATGTGTTGTTCAGTATATTTTGCATGATAAGTGACTGATTTACAATTATGTTAAGCATAATTTACATGATGATTATTATTAATTATATTAAACATGATTGTATATAATTACAAAGGTGAAGTGGAATATATTTAAGTGTGAGACATGATTTATTTGAATAGAGGAAGTCTTTTATTTTGAAGAATGCTTAACAGGATCTGGTTCTGTTTTGTCACTATCTTGCTTTTGTTGAATTTTGGTTGCTAGGTTACGAACAGCTGTTGCCGTTTTTCTCTTTAATTTCTCTTCAATAAAAGCTTTACTCTGTAATGGTGTGTCTTCTTCTTTTTTTACTTTACATCAGAATAGTGGATCTTGTCTTGTGGGTTTCTGGCACACCCAGTTGATGATTTTCTACTTACAGCCAATGACAGACAACATTTAAGATCAGAATATTACATCTGACAAGTAAAATAACATTTTTATTAAAAAAGATATGAGTCATTTTGCTACTTTTAATCTGACAAATGAGCCTCATCTTTGAGAATATATTTTCATTTACTGATCATGTGCTCCTCTGCCTTTGTATTATGTTCTTTAAAAATTAAATAAATAAAATGGGGGAATAAAGGCTTCAGTTTCCCCACATCTTTTCCCTTCACTTAATGGTTGAAAACAAGCAAGCAACTTTTTTTATGTGGCTAGAGACAGGAAGTCAGTGACTGGCTGCTTTGCAAGTATTATGTCAGCAGCATTTGCAGGGTTGTGTACTTCTGTGTCAAAAGTATTTCATAATACTATAATTTTTTTGAAAAGGTGAATTTTGTTTGAGCAAATATGAGAGGGACTGGAAATCATAAGATTTTTTTTATCTTCTGTCTGCTCCTTTTTGAACAATATTGCATGTCAGTTGGTATGACTATTTTTCTTTTTTTTATCTGTTTCTACTTTTTGTCTGTTCAAAATAAATAAATTAAAACATCATCATGGAAAATGTGGACAAACCCACTTCTTATATTTGCTCAGCTGAGATCCCAGTCCAGTTAATAATAGTTCTTTAACATGTGTATTTACTGTTATGATTAGTTTTATGACGGTTTTATTTTTACTTGAGTAAAATTATGATGAAGTATTGTTACTCTTACGTAAGTCAACCATCTTGGCTCCCACTGAAAACCCAGTCAGGGCCCCTTAAAATCTACGTGGGGAACCCCGTTTATGGTTACCATGGAAACCGCAGTCAAAATGTGATCGGATTCATAAACCTTTAGCTGTTATTTGTCCGATTTGGGGCACACCTATGCTAGCTGTGTCATTAGCCTTAACTTATCGAGTAATCAAGCTAAGTATGTTTCTTTTTTTAATTCAGTTACTGAAATAAATTAACTTCTCGCTGATATTCAGCTTTTTAAAAAAACAATGACGCTAGTCATTTAGCTCTCGTTTTTTGTCTTGGTATTTAGCTTGATTTTAATGAGCTCGTTGGGCCTTTAAGCTTGTTGGTCAACATTTTTCTAAGAATCTGATAGCTTGGTCAGTGTTTTTTTTTTTTTTTTTTACACCTTTTTCATTTAAATATAAACTGTTTCGTTTTGGTGAATACCAGGAACTGAAACGTGCATCTTTTAATAAAGTTTCTCAGTAGTACAGTCGCTACCAGAGTTTCCACATTACCAGAATTTTGTCACTCTCTATGCACTTTGAAAGTTTCACTTGAAACTTCATACTGGTATAACACTGGTGTAATTCTGACTTAAAATTTGACTGCTCTTCTGATCAAAAATGGTAGATATATAGATCTACCATTTTTGTTCTCCAGTTTAGATTATAATCTAAATTGGAGAACACAAACTTTCAGCATAGTTTACAAATTATTAACAGTAAATTGGGTCTCCGCCTTTCTAGAAGTAAAAAATTCGCCTGCTTTATCTTTTGCAAAACAATCTTTGAAGCGTGTTTCAGATCATAGCTAACAGATAAAGCAGGCTGATATTAAACTCCGGGAATGTGTTTTTTTTTTTAAATCAGGGTTTTCTGATATGTGCCTCTTTTAAAGCTAATAGTTGTTCAGTGGCTTGCAGTTTCTCTTTTAAGAAACAAATATATCATCTTGAGTCTGCTTTTTATTAATTTCTCTTACTTTGGTGATGTGGTGTTGATTCATTTTGTATTTTTTTTTAAATCTCAAAATATATTTACTTAGTTCAACTGCCCTGTTTAAAATTGGTTAACTATGCTTAAAAAGGTTAGATTTAGGAAAATATATGTTAACATCAGCTTTTATATCCAAAAATGCTACCTTGGGCCACACAACATGCCATTAAAATATTTCAAAAGGGCACTTTTTTCATCCAGAGGAAAAGGAGCCAAAGTTCTAGCACCACCTAGTGTCTATCTGCGTTTCCCTGATAAAAACACCTAGTCACAATAAAATGTCCTTTCTTCAAAGAGAAAATTAGACAACTCATTCTGATCTAAGTCTGATATTTACTGAGATAAAATTGATAAAACATCATAAAACCATTAGCTCTTTTGAATTTTATTTTTTTTTTAAATAAAACTAACTACTTTAAAAAGTTTACTTTTAAAATAGAATAAGCTGGTTGAGGTCTGATCAAGAGTTTAATCTAGAAAAAATAAAAATTAAAACTAACACTAAATTAAGGATACAGCAATAGCTTCTTACAGTAGTTAAACTGTGAAACATGAATTAGAAGACTCAGATGTACAACTGACTTTTTTAAAGTTTTTCTGATTGTGTGGCCTTCCAATGTTGTGACACCCTGGGCAAAAACCATATCACGTGTATAAAAATATATATTTAGGCTTGTATATTTAATTTTAGCAATAACATTCATGTTCCAAACAGTTTCATAAATTAAATTATTTGCTGGGTATTCATTTCATCCTGGAAAAAAAAGTATGCAACTGACCACAACTGTAAGACAGATAGTAAAAATGTGTGGAGATTCACAACCCGGCTAATAATATTCTTTTTAGACCATAAAAGAAATGGACAACCAGTGGCAAGATATTTTCTTTAATATAAAATCTAATAAAATAAACAAGCACAAGTACCTTTTTCTTCACCGAAAAAAGTAAACACAGACATGCAGAAAAAGTGAAAAATCCTAACAGAAAAAAATGCACTCATAAAATCACATGTTAAGATTTAACTTTGCAGAATAAATTACCAAATAAAAGTCCAAGACAGTAAACAGTTTTAGTCTGAAGAAGGTCTTGATTAAACAGACTTTTTAGCTATAAAGATTTATCAAAGCAGCCCTTTCTCTGCTGCAGTGTATAAATCCTCCATCAGTCACTGGGATTTCCAAAACCAACACCCTGAAATATAAAACCAAATTTAATCTCAGGGAGTATGTTGGGAGCACAGCAGCACTCAGAAAAGGCCAAGGAGACTCAACTCCGCTAAAACAAACCCTCTCTGATTTCAACCCGTCTCTGAACATGAGAAATAATTAATTTACAGAACAAAATTACCTCAAATGTACATTTAATTTCACGGTTTGAAAAGTGTGTAGCTGATTTATAGCAAACTGTCACACTGCGATAAATAAAACCATAAAATGTAGCATCAATTAAATCTATATTACAATAATAAAGTGTTGCTATCTGTTCATTTTTGAAAAATATTCACATTTTGTTAATGGATTCTTAAAACCAGCCACCTGCTCGAGCTGAACACGTTCATTCACACAATCAAACTTCTTCACTGCAAAATGACGCCTGTTCTGGAAATTCAACAGCAAAGGGTTTCGATAGACAAAATATACAAAACAGCCATTTGAATTTTGTAAAACCAGAAACTGTATTTAAACTGAATCATTTGTGTCATTTTGCAAATACAGCAACTACCATTTCCACGATGAGTATAAATGACGTGGAAAAAACAAAACTGTACATATGTTTTAACATACATGTTACCCGGTTGTAATGCAGTCGCTGATGGATCATAAATTAAGTAGACGTGTAGGTGACGACTGTTTTTTTACGTTCACTTGGGGTCCTCAATGGCGCCGGTGCTGAGGTCCGTCATTTTAGGATATTTAACCTTCTTCTGGTCCAACTCGTTTTGAGCCCACAGCAGTAACTTCAGGAGTTTAGCCAGTTTAGGGGTCGACTCCCTGTTTTCATAGTCCAGCACGGCTTGGTTCACCTCGCTCCACACCTGCGTGACAAAACAGAAAACCTTTGTTCGTCTTTTTGCTAAATTCAGTTTTTATTATCCTTGTGCTCACTGCATTATCAAGAACAATTAAAAATTATGACTGCACAAATCCAAAAGAAAACAAAAATCTAAATCATGGAAATTTGGCAAATTCCAGCTGAAAACGTTGCTAACTTTTTTTACATTTTATCATGCTTAAACCATAGACTTCTGTTTATTTTTTTGAAATTTTAATATACTAGACAAAAAAAACAGTGTAGAATTCTGAAGTGGAAGAAAAATGATTTCCTGCCCCTCTATATTGAATATTCGTATCACCTATTGACATTGATCATGTCTATTATGATACACAGCTCTGGGAAAAATTAAGAGGCCACTAAAAATGATCAGTTTCTCTGATTTTACTCTTTATAGGTAAATGTTTGAGTAAAATTAACTTTGTTATTTTATTCTATGAACTACTGACAACATGTCTGTGAAATTCCAAGCAAAAATTTTTTATTTATTTGCAGAAAATGAGAAATGGTCAAAATAACAAAAAAGATGCAGTGCTTTCAGACCTCAAATAATGCTAAGAAAACAAGTTGATATTCATTTGGAAACAACAATACTAATGTTTTAACTCAGGAAGATTTCAGAAATCAATATTTGGTGGACTAACCAGGAGGTTTTCAAAGTAGTTCAGTGCAGTGGGCTCTTAAATTTTTTCCACAGCTATATATTGTTACTAATTTATTGTCCAGCCCTACTTCTAAATACAACAGTTTACAACCAGGCATGGTGAGGACGACCTTTTGCCGCTGCATCATGTTGAGCAGGTCTCCGAAGGGCGACTCCTCGGGGTTGTCAAAGGCCAGAAGGGCGAGCGTTCGCTCCATCTCGGTCAGACACTCTCGGCTCTCTTCCCCCTGTTCTGCGAGCTGCGTTTGAGCAAACTCCAGGGCCGACTCTGTCTCTCTTAGCCTGATTAGCTCAATCAAATGTTGCTGCTACAAGAAAGATAATAAAGGGTGTAAAATTAATGTGCAAGTAATATTATGTTGTTTTCTCACATTTTATAATGTTTTTTCACCCAAAATAAAACATTATCACTAACTTTGGGAAATACCAGAGATACATAATATCTTTACATCAACTGATGAGTGTAAGTGGTCGGTTACAACCGTACCTGCAGATGGAAATACAAGTATCGGTTTGTGTCCAGTAACTCTGGGTGTAGGCTGTTGATGAGCGCGATAGCTTCTTGGATCTGCCCCTTCAGGATCATCTCTCTAATCTTAATTCTTTCATCCAAGGAGTCCAGATCCACACTGGGCTCAATTCCTGACTCCATCCGAAATTTTTCCGCTGCCTCTTTGAAGCCCTCTTCAGATATACACAGAGGGACAGATGCAAATACGTTAATAAATGATACACTCCATTAACCTAAAATATCACGAGAAAGTTTGTCTTTTAGATCAAAACTTGTAATAGCCAGATGCTGTAAAAAAAAAAGAAAGAAACATAGCATACTTCAATCGATGTTTATTTTTGCCCATTTTTCTTATTATAGTTTATAGTTGATAAAATTAATATTCTTTTTCTAAAAAAATTACAATATTGCATAAAAAACAAAATCAAATTTTGGATTTGAGGGACATTTAACGGTAGACACAACTTGGACATGGGGCAAAAATTTCACTTTACTTGTGTTAGGCCGTTCCAGAGTCAGAAGTGAGTAACTAATAGCCTCCAAATTAACAGATATGAACATCTGACCTCAGGGATGAAGGCAATAGACAATCTTGCGATGATGATAACAATAGTAAATATTGGACTGATGATATCAGGGGTGATATTTGCCAGTTCTCTTCTTTTCTTTCTTTCTCATCAACTTGTGACCTTTAACATTTAGGGTAATGTCATTTGTGTCCAGTATGAGCATCTGCTGCCACTACACCCTGGCCAGTTGACAAAATATTACTGTAAAAGCAGGCAAAATGCAAGTTCACAATCTGAAATATGATAGAAAACAATTATTGCACTCCAAACAGTCCTTTGCAATATGAACACTGCACACACAGATATTACAATGATGACATATTATCATTGTAAAGTGTAGCCCTAGTTGACATGTACGGCTGCGTGTTAAAGTTAAAATTTTTTAAGTGAATTACAAAAATAAATAAACTTTGGATCATATTCATATTTTTTTTTAGATGCACTGGGATAAAGTAAATATTCAGGTTACAGTCACTGTTTTCTAGAGAAATGTCTCACCTGTCACCAAGTAATTCATGATGAGCCTATTCATGTCCGCCCTCTGAATGTGAACATTGTTTAATTTGTCCATCCACTCCTCTTTTGTTATGTCCTCTGGCTTTTCAGCATAACTCATCATTGGGAACCTGAAGAAGAGGCGAAACATGAGCAAGACTGACACAGCTTGGTCAAACTATGGATCTGCAAGAACTGCTGCGTATCAACAACTAATTAGAAAATAAACACAGACAGACGAATCAAACATTACAGTCTGAAACGCTGCAGGCAAATAAAACAGTATCTACGCGACTCGAATCATGATTAAACACCTGCAAGCGTCATCAAAAACAAACCGGGGCGATCAAAACAAACCCGCTTCCTCCACAGCATTAGCCGCAGCTAGTTAGCATACTGTGCGCGTTTTCACAATTTACCGTCAAACTCAAGGTCCGCTGAGTTTCCGTTCACGCAGGGAGAAAAAACAATTAATAAATCAACCAAGTGAAGTCGTCTTGATGCTTCTAGAAGAATACAAAACAGTCAGGCGCCTGTACAGAATAAAGCTCCGACCGCTACCTCACTAACGAGGCTAATTTGATAACCTCGCGATAGGTGTGTGAGAGAGCTGCGAAGCCTCCGATTGGTTATGGCTGTGACGTCACGGTTGCTGAGGAACAGCGAGGTTCATCTCACAAGAACGTTTTACACAGCGTTTGTAGTCACTGAGTAAAAGGCGTGTTTCATAGTACTACAAGTAGTGTTTCATATTTATTAATTTTTTTGCATAATCTTATACATTTACAAATGTATTCAATTCAAAATCCAACCTTAAAAAAGGGAAATTAGATGTAACTCATATTATCCGAGCTTGGTAGGAGAGCTGAATAGATTAGAAAGGAGACTTGGAAGGAGGGTTGAATATGATTGGAAGGAGGGTTGAATATGATTGGAAGGAGGGCTGGAAGGAGGGTTGGAAGAAGGGTTGGAAGCAGGCCCAGTGGCATGGGTGGGCATTGGGGGGCCTTGCCTGCCCAATGCCCAGCTTCCATTCCCCCTGGAATGGAAGCTATTTCTTTCATTTTTATTATTCTTATCTCAATTTGATACAGTAGGGGCTCCCGCACCTCCCGTATCAATGTCTTCTGTCTCCCGCACTCTTTCAGTCGTTACAACTGCTTAATCCATTGTTAGCTAGGACCTGGACTTGATCCATGTTGTAACATGTTTTTCCGAGCCGCCTTTAAACGCAACATGAGCACTAAGAAACGCCGGTGTTTACATCAACCCCCACTCCCCCATAAAAAGTCAATGCCCGCCCTGCTAAACTGTTCTGGAGCCAGGGCTGGCTGGAAGGAGGTTTGGAAGGAGAAATGAGGGTTGGAAGGGTGGCTGATATAATATAATATAATATAATATAATATAATATAATATAATATAATATAATATAATATAATATAATATAATATAATATAATATAATATAATAACAGCTTTCCTCACCGCGCGCTTTTACGTCATAATTTCGTCAGTGCACGCGCACGTCGGGTCCTCCGTGGGGTACCAGGGGGCGGAGCCAGCGAGCTGCAGCAGCTGTCCATGGTCGCATAGTGAGAGTCAGAGAGGGTCCGGGTACGTGCGAGATGCTGCCATAGTCACGCTGCACAGCCTCACATCAGAACCACTCCGGATCGGTATTCCTATTGAGCAACAGAGCCGACTGAAAGGTGAGGATTCCCTCTGCTATTCTGTATTTTCTCTTCCTTTATTTCCCCTTTGATGCTGCCTCTTGCCCTTGAACAAAAAACGACGATCCATCCCTGCCTGAGGATCCAGAGCAGGCCCCATGCAGGAAGCGAACCAACATGGATGCTGCGCGCTGAGGCAGTGCAGTTGATGATGCTCGATCAGAGATTACGCTCTCTGGATTGAACTCGTAATTTCTAATCCTTCATACAGACAATTTACGTTCGGGGATGAGATTCGTAGAGGGGCAATATTTGAAAGCCACCTCTTAGATGAATTAGATTTCTGTGAAAATGTAACGATAAAACGGGAAGGGCTTCAAATACAGAGCGGTGGTTCTTCATTTGTGTCGAGCTGACACCCATTTGGACGCAGCCTGGTTCTTGAGAATGATTAAATAAATAAAATTTATTCTGTGTAGAATATTTTTTTTTATCTATCCCGCTGTGCTGTAGCTGTTCAGCCTGCAGGGATGTCAGCTTGTAATTTACTAAAAGCAGTGGACCTGCCAAGCTGCAATGCTGTCAGTAATCAGCTAGAACAGTGAATTACCCAAAGGGAAACCAGATAAATGCAGGTGAAAGAAATTATTTCGTCATTTGGACCTGCACAGATTTGATTTCTCTGTAAAAAAATGCATGTTGGGACTTTGTGTTTATAGAACTAGCTGTTCCCTGATGCCCTCAGCCTCAAAAGCCTCTTTATGATTGTCATGGTTTAAAAAATAAAAAGCAGTGAAGATTTTTTTTTAAATTTAATATTTTTTTTCTTTAAATTATATTTTATGACTGAGCAACAGAGTTTAAAAATAAAATCTCAGATTTTTTTCGTACCATGTCAGGTTTCAAATTTTAACAGATTTTTCTGTTTTGCTTGCTTTCTTTTCTACAACAGAGGATTCGGTCCATTACAAAAAAAAAAAAGAAAGAAAAGAAAAAGAAAATATAAGAATTAAGTCATACAAGAAAAAATTCGTAATATTATGGAAATAAAGTCATACTATTATGAGAATAAAGTTGTAATATTATGACTATATTCTCATATTATTTTGACTGTATACTCATACAACTTTATTCTCGTAACCTTATGAATTTACTCTTATAGTTTTAGGACTTTATTCTCGTAATATGATTTTATTTTTGTAATTTTAGGACTTTCATCTCATAATTGTGGTTTTTATTTTCATGCATGGCCCTAATACGCCGTTGCACTTTTCTGCAAAAGAAATTACAGGAAAATATTTTCAAAAAGTGGCTTTTGTTTCAGTCATCCCTTCAGTGAGTTGTACAATGAATTATGTGGGCCAGGCTATGAACAGTTTTGTTTATTCACGAGAATAAGTGTAACCGGGTTCTGCTTCACTCCAATGTACCAGGCCGGCCCAAGTGACCCCTCGACTCTGCGTTGTGTAGTTTTGTTTTTTTTTTAAATGAAGACAAGGAGTTTCTGGGTGATCTGCAGTTTATTTCCTGAATGAGAACATATCGGGTTCGAATCAGTGCAGTGGCTCACCTTCAATCAGCACACTACAACAGAACGAGTGCTTTGTTAGCTTTTTAACTTAGCACATGAAGTGTTTTATGATTAAATTAAAAGTACAAAAATTGGTGCCAGGCACGTATCTAGTAAATATTAATTACACTCTATTTATCCAAGTTAATAAAAATGATGTTTTATCTGTTGCTAACATTTTTCTACTCGGTGCGCTGAAGAAAGCAACTCACCTCTTGTGCAGCTTTCACAGACTGGCACTGTGTACAGGAGCCAGCAGTATATAACCAGCCACACGGAGAGGGGGCGCTATTTCCCCATTGCACTGATACATAAAGCAAGTGGGATTCTACAACCTAAACACTGCTACATAAGGTCAGAATATTAGCAGAAAAAGACACAAATTTACTTGAAAATATGTCTTAAAATAACAAGAAAAAAATTATTTTAATGTGAAAATGCTTAATCAGGATCTGACATGACCAGGTTGTGTAGATTTCTCTTCTCAGTAATTTTCACAATAATTTCAGTCATGCTATGAACAATAATTTCATGCTGATGTGTTAAAAGAGTAAAGTATTACTTCACAAGATGCTGTGCATTCCTCGTTTTAATTTACATTTTTCTGTGTTGGAGTTCTCAAAAAATTACCATTTTATTCCCAACTTTATTCTGGTAGTATTATGACTTTATTCTCACAGTTTAAAAAACATCATAGCCTGGCCCTAATATTCAGTTGTAGAGCTGGCTCATCATGAACTATGAAAACCCAAATAATTTTTTTGTAAAGAAAAAGAAAATTAAAAAATGTAATCTTCAAAAACCAAGTATTTGATTAAATGTTGGAATGAGTTTATCGCCCGGCCTTATTAGCAATGCTTTCCTCTGTTGTTGTCACTCTGTGCAGCCTGTGAGGCATCATGGCTGAGCAGCAGAGGCAGCGCTCTCTGTCCACCGCCGGGGAGTCTCTCTACCACGTCCTGGGGGTCGACAAGGTGGCCACATCGGAGGACATCAAGAGGTCCTACAGGTGAGGCTGACCGCTGTGATTTACAATCAGACTGATTCAATCCCCTCTGCTGCCGTTCGGCCATTTTTAACCTGCCCTCTGCAACAGGAAACTGGCGCTAAAGTTCCACCCTGACAAGAACCCAGACAATCCGGAGGCAGTGGAAAAATTCAAAGAGATAAACAACGCCCATGCCATCCTGAATGACCCCACGAAGCGTAATATTTACGATAAATACGGCTCTCTGGGACTGTATGTGGCTGAACAGTTTGGAGAGGAGAATGTTAACACTTACTTTGTCCTTTCAAGCTGGTGGGCAAAGGTAAGATGTAAAAAAAAAAACATTGTTTGTTAATCATATAAAGTTCATTTTAATAAATTTATACCTCTAGTAATTCAACTCAAAATGTGAAACACGTGCAAGAAATAGAGTGACATATTTCATTGGTTTTTATTTGTTAATTTTTATTATAGGTGAATCGTGGCTAATAAAAACCCAAACTTAATTCTCTCAGAAAATTAAAACGATATTTGACAATTGTCTATCAAATTGTCACTTAGGGTACATGAGAAAAGGTCATTGCTAAAGAAGCTTACGGAGTGCTGTCTCCACTAATTCAATGAAAAGCTTAATGGAAGGAAAAAGTGTGGGGAAAATGAAGCAAGGATTCACATTTTTACACTTCTATTTGGGTCTCAACTGCCTCTAATAGCAACCCATGAGCTTAAAAAAAACACCCAGACATTTTTCTGGCTGTAAGTTAATGTTTTTGGGTGTCTGGAAACTGAGCCATTTCAAAAGCCTTCCGAATGTAACATCACAAACCAGCAGGCTCTGACCTTCACCTAGTTACCCCAATAAAGCCCAGCCCGTTACCTAGCAACCCCAGTGAAGCTCAGCCCGTTACCTAGCAACCCCAGTGAAGCTAAAACACATTTGGTAGTTCTTTACTTTAAATTATAATCTTCAAAATTAATATTAACACTTGGAAAGTTTCACTCTGTGTTTGAAATCACTTAAAATATAAATTGTTCATTTTTTGAAGTGAATTACTGAAGTAAATAAACTTTTTGATAGTCTGTTTTTTTAGATGTATCTCCAGGCTTTATGTTGTTGGACCTGTCTGTCTACAGGCTCTGTTTGTATTCTGTGGCCTGGCCACTGGATGCTACTTCTGCTGCTGCCTGTGCTGCTGCTGTAACTGCTGCTGTGGACGATGTAAACCTCGGCCTCGGGAGGGCCAGGAGCAGGACTTCTACGTGTCCCCCGAGGACCTGGAGGCTCAGCTGCAGTCTGACGAGAGAGGTGAAGCCCGAATAACCAACATTTAAGGGTTAAAATTCACATTTTTTTCAGCTTTTTGTATTTCCATTTGAGTCTTTACTGTTTCTAAAAACAACCCAAATGCTTAAAAACAACACTTTTTTCCAATACGTTAGTGTTTTTTTGGTGTCAGGAGAAGAAGCTGTTTAAAAAATCTCTCGATTGTTGAGTCATATTCCACGGGCACTGCCCCGTTACCTAGCAACCCCAGCTTAGCCCAGCCCTGTAACTTAGCAACCGAAACGGAACTTCAGCACATTAGAAATATACATCATACAATATAAATGTATGACAGATCACAGAGTTAGAATAAATAGCAATAAAAATTCATTCATTCATAAAATGAGTCACAGTTTGTACAAAATGTTGATAAATTTATAAAATATACAATAATTAACCATTTCAGATATAGGTGTGTTGCTCCTAAAAAGCTTGTCAGCTTCTTTTTGAAAACTGACTTCTGTTCAGCTTTTATGAGAGTTAATGTTAGAGTGCCACTCATTTATTGCTTTGTAAGTAATAAATGAGTACATCTTAGAAAAGCATTAGTGGAGCCACATGTTTGATACAGAACCAAACATGTGGTGCTAAGCCGTTCAAAGCACTCATTTATTGCTTTGTAAGTAATAAATGAGTGGCACCAATCAAGTTTATTTCCATATTTCAGCAACAGAGCAGTTCGAAGTGCTTTACATAGTGAACACATAAAAATAGTCATAAACATATTGTATAGTCAACAGTTTTGAAAATCAATAACAAACATCACATTTTGTCAAGTGCCATTGTTAAAATCATCAATACACATTAAATATATTGGTCAATATTCCATTTAATATCTCTGAAAATCAACTCTAAACAGGTGGGTTTTTAGCCTTGATTTGGAGGAACTCAGTGTTTCGGATGTTTTGCAGTTTTCTGGAAGTTTGTTCCAGATTTATGGTGCATAGAAGCTGAATGCTGCTTCTCCATGTTTAGTCCTTGGGATACAGAACCAAACATGTGGTGCTAAGCCGTTCATTGATTTGTAAAATAAAAAACATAACAGGTGCTTTTGAGAAAATTTGTTTTTGCTTAAGTTATGAGCTACACAATGGCTGCTGGAAATGACAAGTGTTTTGTTGTTGACTTACCATCCAGAAATCACTTTCTGCTTTTTTGTTGGTTGTGCAGGAGGCTCCACTAATGCTTTTCTAAGATGTACAGTTGTATAATAGCATTTGTGTTTGCAGCCATTTTAGGTTCTAAAACAACTTATTCTGAAAGGAGCTCAAACTAAATGATCATTATCTAAGAATACATAGTTCTCATGTTGCATCACACTTCCATGAACTTTGTAACTAACAGCCATCTTAGTTGCCAGTTGCTATGAAGTTGCTATGACAACCTTAGAACTAGCTCTCTCCTCGTTTCTATTTAAGTTGTACAAAGTTCTCATGTGACGTCAGTTTTGTAGCTTACAGCCATCTTGGTAGGAAGCGTAACTGTAATGACAGTTGCTATGGAGTTGCTATGACAACAATAAACAAGCCACAAACTTAGAGCTAACTCTTGCCTCGTTCCTGTATAACTTATAAATAAGTACGTTACAGCTATTACTCAATTACAATTTTTGAGTACTCTACCCACCTCTGTGGAATACTAAAATAAATCCTAGTGATATTTACTGCCAAACTAGAAAAATTAGCTTAGCTAATGTAACTTTTATCTGCGAGCTAAGATGGACATGTAGCCTATGTGTGTTACTGCAGACCTGCTGTGCCAGAACCAGAACCTTGTTATTTACAGGAAGAGTTTGTACGCCATTTACCATTCCTTTTAAGCACTGATTGTATGTGTCCATAGATTTTAGGTCGCGAAGCTCCTCCATGGTGTAGCACTCGATGTTCACTAAGTAGTGAACTGTATCATAGTTAGAGATCGGAGGCAGCTTGTCTGCATGGTCTGACATGTTTCCACTCTCTGTCTTGCACGGATCGATCCCGACAGCAGCCATTTTGTTAACATGTATTTCTCTTGCTCATTGGTCAAGAGTGTTAATATATTTTCATTTTGTTGGTCTCATCTATGCTTTGTGCTGTGTTTGCCTACCAAGATGGCGTGGATCACTTCCGTTCAGACTTGTGGGAACGGTGTATTGAAATGAAGTTTCTGTTTCTCAAACAGAGGCTGCTGGGGAGCCCATAGTGCTGCAGCCGTCGGCAACAGAGACGACTCAGCTAACATCGGATGGGCACTACTCCTACCACACCGACACCGGCTTCAACTAACCCCTCCGCTCCCGTCAGTCCCCGAATGGGATCCTGCCTGCTTCCCTGCTCCACCTTCGTGAGATGAAAGAAAAAGGCAAACCCATCCTTCCACGTCAGAAGAGCCATGCAGAGGAGAGTGGACTTGTCAGCATGGCTTTTCAAATGAACTGATGAAGTCACATCCACTTCCCTCCTTCCCTCATCATCCTTTCCCCACGTGCAAGAAGGAAAGAGAAACAACCAAACTGTTTCCCTTTGGGTTCTTCTTCTGCACTTTAACCACAAGGTTTCCCCCCCGTTTCCCATCGTTTGCATCATGGTGTAGCATGCACTGTGTCGAAAACATTGTCCCTACAATTTCTTTATGCCTTGGCAACAGTTTTACTTATTAGCAAGACTCATAACATATGTGCAGTGTTGTTAAAATGAGCACAGCTCACCAGGAGGAGGAGAAGGAGGTAAAGTTTATGAGATATTTTCTGCTGAAGAAGCGGAGAGCCGCGGCTCATCAGGGACGGTTGGAAACATGCATGAAGGTTCAGGCAGTCTGTGCCATCATTAAACGTTAGAGGACAGGTTTGTCCCCACGTTTGCACTTTTCACTTCTAATTTGAGATCGATTTTGTTTCCAGCACAAAAAGAGCTCTGACGCTGTTTTCTGTTTGTCTCTCCTGTGTTCTTTCCTGAGTGGTTTTGATCCAAGTCGTTAAGGCGCCCAGCTTTATTGGTGGATAGGCGTTCATAGATACCAGCCAGGGTTCAATTTAGGCTTTGATTATTATTTAGCATCTGCTTCATATCCCTTTACATGCAACAGGGAAAGGTTTGCTTTCTGCGCCTCACCGCAGCAGCAGGTGTTGTGATTACTTTAAAGCAAACTCCTATAATGGATTTGATCCATGTTACATTATAAATCTCATATTTTCATATCAGCAGCTTAACATTGACATGAATCTGGATGCAGCAATTAGAAGGAATCTCGCACAAAACAACTTTTTCTTCAAGGAGCTCAAGTTTATTTAGTTTCACTTCATCCAAGCTGGTTTTATTTTTACTGCATAAAGCCAAGGAGCTTAACTTTGTTAAGCCGTCCATAATCCAAGCTTATTTTATTTTATTTTTTATTTTTTTGTGCAATAATAAGCTCAGCTTTGCCAAGCTTCATCTAATTCAGCCTGGTTTTATTTTTTTATTGTGCAACATTAAGGTTAACCTAGGATTCATCTCATTCAAACTTTTATTTTATTGCATAAAGCCAAGGAGCTTAACTGTGTTATACTGAACATAATTCAAACTGGTTTTGTTTTATATCTATTTTTTGCTCTATTAAGCACAGTCTGCTTATTAAAAATTAATCCCATCCAGTTGTTTTTATTTTATTTTATTTCATTTTATTTGAGTTTTATTGTGCAATACTAACTTCAGTTTGGTCAAGCTTCATCTCATCCAAACTATTTTTATATTTTTATTTTATGTTATAGTGTAACTATAAACAGTTGTTTATTTTAGCTTATTTTATTATCATTCAACAATATCTCAGTTTTGTCAAGCTTCATCTCATTCAAGCTGTTCTTAATTAATTTTAAATCATTTTAATGCATTTTTTAAAATGTTGCATTAAAATAATGCAATATTATTCTGTTGTATTATTTTAATGCAGAAATAATATTTTATGGCATTAAAATATCTTATTTTAATGCATTAAGCTGCACCTCATTCTGGTTAATTTAGTTAAATTTTATTTTCTGGTTTAATCCAAGCAGCTCCAGTTCATCCAGCTGCACTTCGTCCATGCTGGTTGATGGCATCACATGATTTTCTCTTTGCTCTTTGCACCAAACGTTACGCGTCCCTCTCTTCCTGGGTGATATTATTGAGTTTAAATCTGACGAGCCTGATATTCTGTCCGATGCTGTGATCGTTCTTCATTGTTGACTTTCTGAATCTGCGAAATGCATCTTTGAGAAAAAAGAAACGTTTTTCTCGTACCACATATTTTACCACATATTAATCTTTGCTACTTTTGCAGCTTCATGACTACAACTGATGTGTTTAAATGGTTTACAATTGGTGAGCCCCCGTAGCCCACCCCTCTGCTCTTAATGGTATGGATGTTGACCTCTGTGGCCCTCGTATGATGTTTCCTGTAGCCCCTCGATGCAACATAGATGTTCCTGTCATGGCTTTTTCATCGAGATACTGAAAAACGCTACTGTAAATGTTTTCAGCTGACTGCACTGTGTGTCAAAAAACAAACAAAAAAAACTATAATGGATCAGGAAATGACTCCAAAAAATAGTATATAGTGTAACTATAGTGAAATGGTTATATGATGCATTTTTGAAATTTTTATTTATTTCATATTCCGTTACGTTTTAAAGGAGGATTTCCAGTCATTTTAAATGGTATGGTGTTGTAATGTAACCATTAAACCCAGTAAGGGATGGTTTAATGGTTGGAGCTGCCTGTACATACACTCAGCCCATATAAAGTATAAACATTTATGTTGTAGCATGGTAACTGTGTGTCTGGAAGAAAACAAGTGGATCATTAATCTGATTTGCTGTTGTTGAATAAATGTTCCTCAACATTTTGACTCATGTCTTCATCTATTTTTATTTTTTAAAAAGCCATGATTTTAATAGTTGGCAGGAAATAAAGTGATTATTCATCTGAATCTATTAATAGCCTCATAAAATACAGTAAAAAACGAAGTGAAAAACAAATGGGTCAGTGTTAATAATGTAAAGTTTTGTCTTTTTTTTTACCATCTAAGCAATTACTAAACTTCATTTTATTTGGTACTTTAACAATATTTTATCATTATTATTTATATATATTGACAATAACAAGTAGAATACACGCAGAGTAAAACAAGTTTCTATCATCATTGGAATTATAATTTATTTATATGACGCTTCAGTGCAGCTTTTTACAGAAGCTGCTCATTATGTGGATGTAATTTTTACCACCAGATGGAGACAATTTACACAGTGATGTTAAATAGTCAGATTCAAGTAATTTTATTTGTAAATCCAATTGTGATTTGTGTTTAGTCAATGAAGATGCTCTGTGCTAACCAGCACATGTTTTGCAACAAATTTAAGTGGTAGATGGTTTTTGTCTTACTTGTCATCCTTAGAATGAGTTTATAAAACCGAGCTACATTTACTATTAATGGCCAAGGGGCTGAAACCAAAAGGAATAAAACAGTTTGGTGAAATAAAATTCAAGTAAATGACAATAATGTGAGAAAAAAAAGAACATGTAATGGCCAAACAGAGGCAAATAAAAATCAAGCTAAATTTAAATATCCACTTAAATGTCTTTATTAAGAGGCTATTTTGATTTTTCTGATAAAAATAAATTGCGTCTAATCTGCAGTAAAAGCCAATGGTGAATAAGTGCACTGATTTTAGTCCTTTGAACAGCAACTCCTGCTGAGCTGGGTTCTTCTGTTAAAAGAAGGTTGTTTGTTTACACTGTTACCACAAGCTTGCTCAGGAAAAGGGAATGCTGCAAAAATCCCAAACATGATGAAATCACGGATTTCTTTCCACCAACTTTCAATAATTGAAATAATCTGGGCTTTGATATAACTGGGGTGAGTTATTACAGACATTTCTTAAAAGAAACCAAGAATAATCCATTATTCCAATCATTTGATACCAAAGTTACAGTTACTTGTTTCACCAGTAAGTACTTCCATAAGTACAAGAGTAAGTGTTAAATATACTTATAATCAAACCAACATCAACCACCGGTTAAACCAATACTAATTATTGGTTTAATTATAAGTTATCATTATTAATTTAAGTATTTTACTCTGGGTTTTATCCAATTACTCAAAATGTTTAGATTTTATTCTTTAAATCTTTAATGCTCCGAAGTGAGCAATCTGAACTATTTTTATTCACTGCAGGCTGGAAACTTCCTCTTTCTTCAGGAAACCTGTTCTTCCTGTTCCATGACTCTCTTTCTGTCTGATTATGATTTTTTATGATTAAATAGAAAAAAGTAGAATTAAAGCAAAGTTTGCAGGTCACAATAACAACACACACAACCAGATTAATTTTATTACAGTCTGACTCTACTGTTGGGTCTTGATGTCACCTGTGTAATCAGTTTTAAAGATAACTTTATTTATTATTATTAAACTAAAATCTCCAGCATGGGGAAGTGGGATGAGCTCGACTTTTCTCGACAATACGAATATGTTTAAGTGATTGGATTGCTTTTTCTATAGCCTTTGTCTTCTAAAGTCCATTTGATGACATCATGTTTGTTGTGAAATAATCGCTTTTTTTGTGTTTTCATTGAGGCATTTGTGCATAAATAACACTAATACACAAGGCAGTGTTGTCATAATAATAAAGGTACAACATAAATAAGAGAGATGTTGTAAACAAAAATATTTTCAGTCCTGTTTCGTTTTAGTTCAGCATTGAGCAGTTTATTTTCTGCAGTTTTCCAGAAAAATTAAAAACAAGTAAAGACTGTATCACTACTGACAAATATATGTCAAATATGCCCCCCAAAATAAAGTGAAGCAAAAGATAGTCAAATGTTGTCTTTTTTATGATTAAATATCTATTTGATAACCATTTATATTTTAAAGAGTTTAAATGATGCCAGTGTGTTCACATTACGTATGTGTAGGGACGAAATGGTGAAATCAAACAGAGATGCCTGAAGCTGGCATGAGTTTATAGTGATCTCTTTACATCCTGCCGTTGTCAATTACTGAGATTACCGAGTGTGAGAGAGAGTGAAACCAATAATAGCCTGAGTGATCAGACTGCCCCCTGCTATTCTCTGAGCTCAGCTAACCCGATGGAGACATTTGGCAGCAGTTAGCTTATTAAAACACTTCGAAGTGAACAAAGCAGCGATGAGCCGACAAGGTAAGACCAACTCGTATTGATCATACGGTACTGCATTTTTATTATGTGTCTGCTTTTGGTTGATTTTAGAGGGTTAATGACGAGTTTTTTTTAGTCGTTTGCTAGTTTTGGTGACTTTATGCTGACGTTAGCGTTGCACGCAACAGGTTAGCCTTTAGCCGGCTAGCCTGTTAGCTGGTGAGCAGAAAGTGAGTTCAGCACCGAGGATAGCAGCTCCGACATGTAACAACACTACAGTGAATAATAACATGCAACGTTCCTATAAATCTATATTTACTGATAAAATTACAACTACGAGTCGAAATCATTGTCCCAAATGTGAATTCTTGATTAAAGAAAGTAGTTTAGGTGTCTTTAGGATAGAAATATCCTTTAAATTACAGACAAACACTTTAGGAAGAACGATGGTATAATTATTTATATATTATTTTATTTAAACAGATTTTTTTTTTCGAATTAGTCTGAAATAATATTTAGAAGAATGATTTTGTTTCCCCCTTTTGTGTCGTTTTCTATTTTTATACACGGCATCTTCAGTTTTAATTTCTGAATAGCAAAAGCTTAATTTTTCCATGCAGCAATGCATCTATGGTAGTTATTTTTAAAAAAGAAAATTATTATAAGATTTAACTGATTTGACTGTCTTTTACTGACTATTACTCTAACTAATCACTAATATATCTCTGATAGATCAGTAACTTTTTATCATCTCAAACCCCTCCTTCACATTTAATTAAGATATAAATACTAATTCTTAAAACATTGTAATTTTGAACTGATTACAGCTAAATCTTAATCTATATTCTTCACTTTTCCTTCCTGATTTGCCATTCACATCAGTCTAATTTGATATTTCCTCTGTCTCTTAAGTTTTTAACGGGACGTCTTCATCGCTGAACTTCTCCACAAGAATTACAGGTAATGGATGTTCACACACAAATCTAAGGGAGGATGACTGGGACACTCTGCGTTTTGAGCTTACAAAGGTAATGCAATTCAATTCAGAGGCAAGCAAGGAAAGAAAAAAAGAGTTCCCTCCTGAATTTATTGTTCTTTCCTCCTGCATAGACGGAGGATGAGATTCAGACGTTGAGGCAAGTCCTTTTGGCAAAAGAGAAGTATGCGGCAGACATCAGGAGGCAGCTGGGGATGAGTCCACTCAGTAACGTGAAGCAGAATCTCTCAAAAGGTTGGCAGGAAGTCCAGACCTCAGCTCCGTACGTTCACCCACCCTTTCACAAACACAGAATCAAAGATTTATATTAACTTTCACTGATGGTTTTGGTAATTTAAGGTGTGGATGTACCATAGAGCCAGTTTTATTATGCATTGTTTTATCATGGCAGACGCTGAATTTCCATTACAAACGTACGCAAAATGTTGCTGGAAAAACACAATTTCACAATTAAAATCAGACGCATGTTAAAAATAAGATGTGAATAAGTTTGCTCATGGTGTAAGTCGTTAAAAATCATGCAGCTCAATCATCCTCCAATCCCTTCCTGTTGTTCTTCTTCATGGCTTGCGCCTGTACCATCATCCGGTTCTTGTTCATGTGTTTCATGATGCAAAATTTCAGTTTTGCAAAATAAACCAATTTTGATACGGCTCAAAAACCACCTCATTCCAGCACCAAAACGTACCAAAAAAATCAGCGTTGCCACGTTTCCATTAAGCAAAACTATTATCAAAATGTCAGATTGTGCAATTTTATGGACGATGGAAACGCAGCTGTGGTTACATAACCAGAAGAGGCAACCTGGCAATGATCATGGCTGCCCTCTTAAGTCAGCACGCTAATCTGCCGACCTCTGCATGTCCTGTCGTTTCAGATACCTCACAGCCTCTGCCACTCTGGAGGACATCAGCAACTCCAGCGTGTGAGTCCATAGAATCACGATTTAATCATCCCCAGAAATATATTCACTTTTTAAAACAACTGGATCTCTTTGGCGTTTATTTCTGTGCATGCTTCCTCAAGAGGGATCACTTCTAAGAACCGTCTGATGGGATTTTACGGGTCAAATAGGATTGGTGCCCTGATAATAGCCCCACAGCCTGACTTAGCAGAAGAGGCAGCGGCTTTACAAAGTCACACCATGACGAGCCTCAAGTGTTTGTATTAAACAGAGGAGGAAGGATCTGCTGCAGGCAGATGGACAGCTGACGCACATGAAGCTTATTGTTGTTTACGAGTTGCTTTTGTATCTAGCGGTGGGATGTAGCAGAGTACAAGTACTTTGTTATTGTACTTGAATAAAATTTTACTATATCTACGCTTTACTTAAAGCTGGAGTACATAACTTTTATAAAAAAATGTTTTTTTACATATTTGTCAAAACTATCACCAGGTTATGACGGTATGAGGCAGATAATCTGTGGAAAAATCAAGCTCCTCCACTCCACTTTCTCACCAATCAGAGCCAGTAGGAGGGTCTCAGTGCTGTCAACCAACCTTCTGAACGCGCTGCTAAATGTGCTAATGGTGGAGAAGCTACTTACCGTTACAGGAAAACTGTTTATCCACCGACACCGGTGCTAACTAACCTTAGCACTGAGAACAGACTCTGCTGCACACAGCACACAGACATGATTGACAGTGCTAAGACCCGCCTCCTGGCTCTGATTGGTCGTTTCTAGATATCACTGGGAGAAGGCAGTATGTTAAGAGACACAACAGTTTCAACAAGTATGTCAAAAATATACATTATAAATGTTACATACTGCCGTTTTAAGTAGATTTAATTGAGTTTCTTTTTACTTTTACTCCACTTCATTTTACATTAATTATCTATTCTTTCAACTCCACTATATTTTTGTAATTTGTTCACAGAAATATGTGGAGTTTCATTCATGTCACATTGCGTTATTTGAGTTAAAGTAATTAATGACTTAACCGACTTAACTGCTTCAAAAAATGGGTCCAATTTTTGAAAATGGTTCCAGGAAATTAAAATATTAGTCATTACTGACCCATTAAGAATGAATATACAGTATTTTCCAACTGTGGAGTTGATGGCAAACTGGAGTTGAAATGTCAGTGAAAATGATCAACTTGACTGTTTTCATTGCAGTTAAAATAACACATTGGTTTTACTCTGTTATAAATAAAAATGTTCAGAGGAATAGTTATTCCTTTCTTATTATGCTTAATGGCATTTAACTCTGAATTTCTGAGGCACAGAATCAAGTGAAAACTGTCACAGATTGTAAACACAACAGAAACATGCATTAGCTGCAGCATTGATCATTAAAACGTCACGGCAGCATTGATGTATTCAAGAAAATATACATATGGTCACACTTGATGATATTTCTAGACTGTTTTATTAGGCGAATACATTCAACAAGTACTTCTATGTTCAATACTTTAAGTATTTTTAAAAGCAAGTACGTGGTTTTACTGAAGTTAAAATGTTCATGTGGTACTTTTACCACATTAAAACATTTTTGTTTGTTTACAGTGTTTGCCTTCTGTGTTTACTGGTTGCTGCTGTTAAACATTCAGAAACCTACAGACCTTTGTTTTATCACACTGACTGATTTAATGTATTATGTGCAGATACGTGAGGACACGAGACGGCCTGTCTCAAGCCAGCCAGGTGACATCTGCTGCTCTGTCCAACGTGGGCGTGGCCATCACCAGAAGGCTGGCGCAGATGAGGTCAGCCCACTTTTATTTGGGTCGCATGAAAATGGAGGGAAACATTTCAATAAGTAGTTTAGTTATAAATAGTCATGCAGTTTTCAAACAAATGCTGAAATATATCATTTTACAAGGTGTTACTCCCAGTGTATTATAAGCCTGGCAGGCTGCCAGGCTTTACTTGACCCTGTCAGGCTGAGCGTCCTTTGTTTATTTATTTTAAACTGGTTTTTTACACATTAGTAACAGGGATGAATGAATTAATAGTTTATTTGTACATTTCAGCAACAAGGTAGTTCAAAGTGCTTTAAACCATAAAAACATCACACAGTAACCAATTAAACAAGCAACAAACATTACATGTTAATTCCCATCATTAAAACCATTAACACACATCAAATATGTTGATAAATGGTTTTAAATCAACTCTAAATAGGAGGGTTTTTAGGCTCAGTGTTTTGGCTGTTTCACAGTTTTCTGGAAGTTTGTTCCAGATTTGTGGCACATAGAAGCTGAATGCTGCTTCTCCATGTTTGGTTCTGGTTCTGGGGATGCACAGTAGAACCAGAAGGCCTGAGAGGTCGGGAAGGTTGCTATGACAACAGCAGATCTGTAATGTATCGTGGTGCTAAACCATTAAGTGATTTATAAACCAACGGTATTTTATAGTCTGTTCTGAGTGTAAGGACTTTAGGACTGGGTGATGTGCTCCAACTTCCTGGTTTTAGTCAGAACACCAGCAGCAGCGTTTGGATCAGGTTAATTTGTTAGGCAGACCTGTGTTGCAGTAATCAATAAGTTTCTTTAGATCTTGCTGAAACATTAGTCCTCTAAGCCTGGAAATGTTCTTCAGGTAATGGAAGGCCGACTTTATAACTGTCTTTATGTGACTCTGAAGGTTCAGGTCTGAGTCCATCACTACACCCAGATTTTGAGCCTGATCAATTGATTAGACACTACTACTACTGCTAACGACTACAATATTATAACTAGAAAATTAACTTTTAAAATGCTATCATCTAATAAAACCTCAAATTTATCTGGAGTTTCAGTCTCTCTGAAGTCTAAAGAAAAAGTTTGCTGTTCTAAGACTGAGAAATTTGGGAACTAAAATGCTTCACAATCCAGCACCAAACTACAGCTACAATCAGACATTTCAGCTCTACAAATATAAATTGATGGAGGAAGATGGAGTCAAACCGTCTAATTACCTTTTCTTTCCACTGAGCTACAGCAAAACCTTTGCTCAGGTTTCCTCAGTTCAGTCCGCCAAAGGTCAATCTGAGGTCAGGCTGACAGGCTGTCCCTTCTGGCACCGGTCTGGCAGTAGCCCACTTTGGGTCGCAACAAAAATAATAATGTAGAAGTTAAACTAAGTGTAAGGAGGAAAAACAAATACCCAAAAACAGACTAAATTAATCACAAAAATCAGAATAATGTTGAAATAATACTAGAGTAAAGTCGTATTACCAGAATAGAGTGAAGTTGGGTAGTAACTAGTTACATTTACTCAATTAGATTTCCTTGAGTAACTTTTAGGAGTATTTCTACTGTGCTGTACTTTTTGCTTTTACTTGAGTGATTTTATTAAGTATTTCTAATCTTACTTGAGTAAAATTTCTGGATTTCTACCCACTGAATGAAAAACAAACATGTTTTAATGAAAGATTCACCAGACTGACTCACACCTGCTGTTAAAGTTTTATATTGAAGGAAACTGATTTTTTTCTTTTACTTATATGATTTATTGTTTTTTCATCTTTAAAATACTAAAATATCTGCTTAAGTTTATATTTTAGTCTGTCTAATTTTGCAATTTTTAAATTTTAAATGATTTTGTTCAGTTACTCAGAACTTGAGTAGACTTTTTTTTTTACACTGATTGAGTATAATTTACTAGAAACATGTTCAGGTAGTGCTACTCTACAATGTTGGAGTACTCTACCCACCTCTGAAATAGAATAATAATATTAGGACAATGAATTACTAAGTTTGAGAATTTCAAAAAAAAATTAACAAAGCATTAAAATGAACATCTTGTGACGTTAATTTGGTTCTGGATTTGGTTTGGACACGTCAGCTTCACATTTAGTGGGAAACCACTGAGTCTGTTTTCAATAAAGAACCACAAACATGTCAAGTTGGTCAAGTTGGATCTTAATGACATCGTGAGATACACAGAAGTATTCATTTGTTGTTGTCAAATGTTAATTATTTAATTTCCCTTTGGGATCAATAAAGTATTTTTTAATTGGATATTAAATGGGACATTTTTTATTATATTTTTATTTATTTTACCTCTGCAATGAGGTTGCAATGAGGTTAATGCAGAGATTAACCTCATTGCAACCTTGCAGTTGGAGCATCACCTTATCGTTTTTAAAGAATATTCAAACTGTAATCCAATAACAACATTGTTTTGCATTTTCTTTTCTCATTTATGCTGCAAACTCAACAGAGCCTTGCCTCTTCCAAACCCGCCACGGTAAGATCTGAGCTTCAAACGTCTTCATTTTAGGAAGGAAGTAAATAAAGATGTTACTTAGTTTGTAACTGCCCATAATGCTTTTGGATCATATTTGTTATATTCTGCTCAGTTTAAACTTAAATATGTGATCATTCAAAGCATTGTGCAAAAGAAAAGCAGTTTTCCTCCTTAAAATTTACAATTTACCCTCATTTTATAATTGTATCTTTTTTTTCCACTCAGGACCCTGAACCACCCTATTAGTGTGCCATCTATGAGGTAAAACATCACAATATATTTAAAAACAAGTTGGTATTCAACGTCCTTAATGGGGTGTTTAATTGTTAATATTTATTTTTAGGCATTCATCCACATTCAAGTCTATTGAAGAACTTGTTGGCAGTATGAAGGTGAGTGTTAATGTTAAACAAACATAAAAAATACAATATATGATTTATATTGCTTAAGTTATGATCAATTATTTCTGAATTAAAAGGATAAAGTGACTGGCGGCGTGTCAAACAGTGAAGAGGCATCTGGATTTGAAAGAAGATCCTCACGCAACCAAACCTGAGCTGAATCGATTTTATGCAAATCACAAAAATTTCTCAAAGTTCAAAAAAATGTGAATCATCTCCCTCATCAATATGTATGTCTGTTTTTTCCAGTTTCTTTGTTGATGCAGATTAAGAAATTGAATGTACAATACTAGTTGTGTAAGTAAATAATTAAGATGTATTTAAACCTTTGAATGTTTCATAACATGATGAAATCTGTTCATTTTAATATGCTGGTTGTTTTTGACATGCTTGTATCTCCATATTCTGAAATCAGCTGTACTACGAGGTATTTTTGTAATGTCAGATTTTTCAAGTAAAGGCTTTAGGATACATTCAATGGCTTTGTTTGTTGACTTCTATGAATTTTGGAAATGGACATAAAAATAGCTAAAGTAGCATTGAAATAAAGAACCTGTATATTTTATATATAATTTGACAAGAATTGGAGCTTCTTTTGTTTTATAATTTGTAAATAAACTTATTAATAATTGTAATACAATTGTTTAAAAGTGAAAAATCAAATATTAGGTGGCTTATTTCATGTGCCTTGTTTTATTTAATTTTTAACTTTAACATAACTAAATACATCTATGCACAGTAATATCAATATTTTTAAAAATATTTATTATATTTTAAATAGTTTTTAACAGTAATGATTTATATGATTAAATAAATGTACATAGTTGAAAAACGTCATAAGTGACATATCCCATATATACCGTTGGGTGGCGCTAGATAATTCGTTTTTATCTTATATATTTTGTTTTTATTTAGGTCAGTTTACAAGTGCTCTTTACTTTTTCTACAGTTCCTGAAGCTTAAATAAACAATATGGAAATTTTAAATGTAAAAGTATTGACATGTCCCAGGTCTTAAAAACGGAGAAACTTATTTTCATTCATTATAAATAGAAAATTATATATGAAATAAGGTCATTCGGATCATTTATCTGTGCAACAGCCTTTTAAGGGCTCAGTAACAGAATGTAAAAGAAATTCTAATTTGCTTATTTTATTTATTTTATATTTAGGTCATATTTAACTTGCTTATAATTTAACACTTCTGTATATGTATTTAAATTCATATCTGCCTGATTATACCTGTATTTGCTAATACTTTGAATGGAGTAGTTTGTCAATGAATAAATATTCCCTCTGGGATTAATAAAGTTTAATCTATTCTAGAAGTACAAAATTAAGTTCCCTGACCGGGAATCGAACCCGGGCCGCGGCGGTGAGAGCGCCGAATCCTAACCACTAGACCACCAGGGATATACGTCATAAGGCTGATACACATTAAATATGGAACTTAGACAACTTTGTGTTGGCATTCTGATAATGATAGGAGTTATTTTCTTTTTGAGAACCTGTGTTAAGGCATTTATGCCTCAGCCGGTGCCCATTTCTGTGCATGACTACTTTTCTAGTTCTGACAAACAGATAAGGATAAGTCCTGCACTGGTTGCCATCGGGTTTTAAGTAAAGCCTGTGTAATCTCCCTAAGCGCACTGGTGTCACCGTGACCACCTTATGCGTGTCACGGACGGACCACAGGGTAACACGTTTCCATCCTCAAGTTTCCCACTCAAGCCCCGCCCATGAGCCGAGGACGAACGCGCCTGCTGCTATAAAAGCGGTTCGTGGGGCAGGCTATGCGACCACAGCAGTGCAGTGATCCACAGCGGTCCAGACAGGTTGTTCGTCCACAAATGGTCCATAGTTAGCTTGCATCTACCCCCTCTTCTACTGCAAGCCATCCGCACCAGGTGCAAGCATCATCCACCCACTCTAAAGGTAAGTTAAAATAATTATTCTAGAGTACATTTTCTTTGTGTGTGTGTGTTTTTTTAAAACTGTTTTGCATGAAAAAGAATCTCAATTGTTCACCTTAGTAATTAACCCTGAATAAATAAATGTAAAGAATTGTAGCAAAATGTACATTATTTACTTTTAGATTGTGCGTCATTTGCTGTGCTTATAGGCCATGCAGTGTTGGCATCGGTCAGTGAAATCCCTATAAGCCATCTGCTGTTCAGACAGAGCCTTGAAGCGGTTCTGGTCTCTGCACAATAATAAACATTTTTCAATTAACAATGGTAGAAAATAAGGATTTATATTTCTTTTATGACTTTGGAAGTTGGGTCTGAATACAGCCAGTGTGTCATGCAGCCAGTGCATGCACACCAGCCTGCTGTACACATGGGCACGTTCTCCCATACATTCCTGTAATTTGAGTTTGGGGAAACCTGACACTCAGAGCAACCTGTTACTGTTTTATAACTCTGTGAACATAACTGGGTCAAGAGTGTTACTGAACAGGCTCCAAGATGGAAATTAAATGGTTGAGTCTGACGTGTCTGTTTTCCTCTTTAGGTTATTTTCCCATTTAAAGTCGGAGAAAATGGCATCAATTCCATCAAGTGGTTCCCTCGTCGCCACACATGACTACTATAGAAGTAAGTAATGCGTATATAATGCTTTGTATCTTTGGATAAGTCTACAAAAATTAAACGTTACCATTTCTTTCCAAAAGGACGTCTCGGATCCAACTCCAGTAGCAGCTCTTGTGGGAGCGCCGAGTACACTGGGGAGGTTATTCCACACCATCCAGGTATGGAAAGCAGCAAATTGTTGAAACGTATTCAAAATGGCGTCTTAATGAATCACATCTGAATTAAAAATAAACATTCGTTCTTCGTAGCTCTTCCAAGGCAAGACTCCGGTCACTGGTGGACTTCGTTCTTCTTTGCAAAGCAGAACCAGCTCGCTATGCAAAACGGATCTGAAAATCAAAAGTGAGTGACTTATGCAGATGTAACCACCTTACACTGCAAAAAACATAAAATCTCACCAAATATTTTTGGTCTACTTTCCACTACAATGATTGAAATCAGATGAAAGTAACAAGTAACTTTTGAGCAAGAAAATAGGAGCTTGTTTTCAGTAAATAAAACCTTAATATCGATGAAAAAGTACTGGTTCCACTGCCAGATTATCTCATTTATAACATGGGAGAATATCTTGTATAAGTGAAATAATCTGCCAGTGGAAATAGAACTGGGTTGCTAGGTGGGTTGCTAGGTGACGGGCTGGGCTTGGCTGGGGTTGCTAGGTAACGGTGCAGTGCCCTGCCGTGGATCATGAAATAAGTAGCAAAGTCTGGCATTGGAACTGATACTTTTTCATCAATATTATGTTTTCTACATCAACTTTTCAAAGAATTTGAATTAATATGAGTTACAACAACATTTAAGATCCCTTTGGGATCAGTAAAGTATTTTTGAATTTTGAATTTGGAAATTTGAATAAATAATTCCTTAATATTGATTAAAAAAAATACTAGGGCCACTTACAAGACATTTCTCCTCATGTTATAAGTGAAATAATCTGCTAGTGGAACTAGCACGTTTCCATCAATATTAAGAAATTATTTACTTAGAACAAGCTCCTATATCTTGCTTGTAAACTAGTTTTGTCTTATTTCAAATGTACTAGGATATTTGTACTAGAAATAGACCCAAAATACTTGGTAAGACTTTGTGTTTTTGCAGGGTGGGGGCATTTATGCTGTCTGATGGTAAACTAAAGGCTGGTTTGTGTTGCAGGAACGGTTACACCTTAGCCAACGGACAGGTGACCTGCATCGCCAAGGAAATGATTCGGACCAGACAACTCAGCGAAAGCAGCGACGGTGGAAAACATGAACCTATGTCCCCCCCACCAACTTCCTCCTAGTCCTCAACCCTCCTCCTCCTCTGCACCTTCCTCACCATCCACTCGCCACCGCTCACATAGTCCAGCAATGGAGATGTAACGATGGTGGTCGTGTTGATGGGGTTTCCTCATCCTTTTTGCCTGTATATAGTATGTTTATATATTGACCAAAAGTAATAAAAAGCTCGTATGTAAAAACATTTTTTATGCATATGTTGTAATAAATTACAACTGATAATAAAACTATATTCTAAACACCGCTTTTTTTGTCCACCACTTTTTTTTATCTGTTAACCTTTATATAAAAGGTTAACAGATATATATAAAACATTAACAATAACTTAATGTTTTCAGTAAACGTCACATTCAAAGCTTTGGCTTATATAACCTAGAAAGAACACAGGTGACTCAACAATGGACTTAATCTGTTTATGACGCTGACATGATTAGAAACGATTAATTCAAGCAGTAATGCAGTTTATGCAACGTCTCAGTTTAGCTTTAATGTGGGTCAGCAGCTTGAGGAAGACGTCATGGAGAGGAAAGGTCAGGGAGATTAATTTAAACCAAATAACAAGGTGCTTCCTGCACCCAGATGTCTTTACGTCCTTTATTGTTGTTAATTATACAAAGTGGTCAATACACACACTGCAAAACAGAAAACTGTAGTAAGTATTTGTCTGGTTTCCAGACAAAAAAATTCAAGACAAATTTGTTTTGTCTTGAAATAAGACAAAAATAACTTACAAATAACTTTTCAGCAATATATAGAAGTTTGTAACTAGTTCCTTAATACTGATGAAAAAGCATTATTCCCACTGGGACATTATTTAACTTAAAACATTGGAAAAACGTCTGGTTATAAGTGAAATAAGCTGCCAGTTGGCCTAGTACTTTATCATCAATATTAAAGAACTTTTTAGTAAAACTTAAACTTTTCAACGAGACATGGGACTATTTTGAGTAAATAACTTCTTAATATTGATGAAAAAGTTTTAATTCCACTGGCAGATTATTTCACGATAGGTGGCCGGGCAGTGCGCCGTTACCTAGCAACCCCAGCAAAGCCCAGCTCGTCACCTAGCAACCAAGTTCTAGTTCCACAGGAAGATTGTTTCACTTCAATAACAAAACATTTTTCCCAAGTTATCAGTGAAATAATTTGCCAGTAGAACTTGTACTTTTTGATCAATATTAAGGGACTATAATGACTTAAAACAAGCTCCTATTGCTGAAAGGTTACTTGTAAGTTAGCTTTACATTGTTCTATTATTTTTTGTGAGATGCACGTCTCATTAGAAAGAAAAAAGCAGGTCTTAGTTTGGTTAAAATTTTAGCCGGTATGAATAATTTAGAGCTTAAACTTTACTTAAAAATCCAAACAGTGTCAAAACAAACCCCTTATTTAACAACCATAATTTGATTTTTGTTTATTTTCACTATTGCCATCACAATATTCAGTGATATGAAAACTTTACATAAAGATTAAGTTGCATGAAAAACAGCACGTTTTGAGTCATAGGGTCTTCTTATCTACAACTTAGAGTTGTGCAACATTGAAAACTCAGAAATCTTGCCATATTGGCAGCAGAAAGAAATCAATGAAATCATTGATTCTCAGTACGTGCTATTCTGAGAATTACAACAAACAGTGAACATCTTGCCAAAATGAACATTGATAACTAAGAATAGACCGACCAAAGTCCTGCTGGAAGATTACTTTTCTGTTCAAACATGAAATGCAAACAGCACTCTGGCTCTGGAACCGGATCAGACAGCGTTCTGGGATAAAACAGGGAGAGAAATGCTTTTTAAGAATAAAAAAAACTTCAAAGTGAGATGCACATTTACCCTGACAGCCCTAAATAAAATCCAGCGCCTGTGAAGTTTAGTTAATTAATGGAAGATTAGCAGACGGATCAGGGACGGAGATGTGGAGATGTTTGCAGCTGATTTAGGTTATAAAATGTTGTTCATAATGCTAAAAGTCACAGAGAGATGGAGGAAAGAAGGAAAGTTACTAAAACTGATCACTTTCTCTCACTTTCTTCTTTTACTACTCTCCAATTTGCATTATTTTCTGTTTTTTTCAACTGACAACTTTTTGTTCTCGCTCAGATATTTTTCTCTCCATAGAAGCTACGTCTGGCTTTAAGGTGTCTGTGAAACCTTCCTACTGCTGCCACACTGCAAAAACACAAAATTTGATCAAGTAGTTTTGGTTGAGTTTCTACAGCAAATATCTTAGTACACTTGAAATAAGAGGAAACTAACTTACAACTAATTTGTCTGCAAGATAGTTTTGTTTATTTCAAATATATTTGCACTAGAAACTGGACCAAAATATTTGGTAAGATTTTGCATTTTTGCAGTGTAATCGTTCTTTCTCTGACAGTTTTAACGTTTTACTTTTCATTTAAATACAGAGTACTCCTATGTCAGTTTTTAAATTAATCTCAGAAATTTTTTGAAAATGTTGAATATTTGTGAGAAAAAACTCAGAAAACCTTAAATTAATCTCAGAAATTTTCTAGAAAACACTTGGAAACTTCTGAGTCTGAAATATCTGTGAGAAAGAACTCAGAAATGTCGAAATTTTCTAGAAAAATTAGGGAATTTAAGAGTTTGAAAAGTAGAAAATTTTCAACTTTCCAAACTCATTTCAAACTGATATTATCAAAAGTCATTTTTTAAAACTTTCTAAACTAAATCTCCAAAAAACAAAAGCAAATTCAAGAAAATTTCTGATATAAATCCAAAAATATCTTAACTTTTTCTTGCAAATTTTTGACTTTACAAGCTCAGAAATTTCCTTGTTTTTGTAGAAAATGTAATTTTTTTCTCATAAATATTAAACTTATGGAGAACAAAAATGTAATTGTTTTTGATGTGAATTTTCTCCTCATCTTGTTCTCTATCTACGTTTAGTTCAATCATATCTTTTGTTTTTAGTTATAAATTATAATTTCTCTATTCTGCTTTATTTGCTGGAACAGCTCTTGCCTGCTTCCTGCAGCTCAGACTGCATCTGCCCTTCAGTTGGCTCTAGAAGAATCTGGGCCAAAGGTACCCGACCCGACCCGGCCCGGCCCGACATCCGGGGTCCAAACACACAGATAAGATGAGAGGAAAGAGACATGCAGACTTTACCGGACTCAGTGACTTATTGTATATTTTAAGCTCAGGTGAAAAGGTTCGTTCCTGTTCCGGGTCTAAAGTGTCGTCCTGTTTTAGGGTTATATTTGTTCAGCAACACGAGCCGGACGGATGGACCCGCTGGGCCCACGAGCCACTCAGGGACTTTCTGTGTCCACAGAAAAAGCTGCATGCTGGCATCAGTTTATCGCCGCAGCATGTTTGTGTTTTCTATTTGTGTTCCCGTCTGTTGGCCAACTTCTCTGGTCTTAAATGCAACAAAAACACGTTTCAACACCAACATCTGCAGCAGTTTTAGAGAATTTAGCTGAGGCTCATTTCCCAAAAAAATAAGTGTTTGCAAAAGATGTTTAATTCATCTGCAGTTTAAAGGGTTTTTTTCTTGAGTTTTTGTCACATCTTAAAACTCATTTTTATTTCGAGCCCCAACAACACCAGGAACGTCCTATTAAAGGCCAGTTGTGGTCAAATCTTTTACTAAAACTTCTCACTAAATATAACAACATAAAACATAAATAAATAGTTTCTGCGTAAAACCAGATCTACTCTCTTTGGTTTCTTTTGTTCCGTATTTCTTCTGTCAGAAAAACAACGATCCACTTGATTTGTTTGGGTTTTTATTAAAAATATCTTATGCTCTCAAAAATTTCCCCTTGAAACATCTCATAATTTGCTAAATGTTGTTTAGAAATCATTCTACTGATGAATAAAGAATAAACATTTTGGAATCAACAAGTCAAAATCGATCTAGAAAACGTTAAAATACTGAAAATAAAACTTTCATGCAGGAACTAAAATCCTCATCAGTTTTGTCATAAATAATGTAACTAATAACTGAGATAAAAGCACTTTAATTCTGTTTGTATCCCAAAAGGCGTCCAGGGTCTGGGTGAAAGGTCGCTCAGATGAGTCCAGGGAATCCATTTTGTTTTCGGTTGACAGCTGAGCTGTAAACACTGAAACGTGCTGCCCAAAAAAATGCTCAAAGTTGATCAATAAACATGATTAAAGGTGTTTCCCCTTCATTTTAGGCTCGTTCATTTCAGGACTGGAATGATTAATCACGATTAATCGTGATCAATCTATTTTTTAAAAAAAAGGTCTACTAATTTAGTAATCAATTAATTGTTAACTAGAAAATCCAGACAAAAAAAAAAGAAATTTGCCAAAAGAACAACATCCTTAGATAAACAAGACAAAATTGTACAAAAAGGATAAATATTTTCAATTCAAAATATAAAAAAATACTAAAGGAATGTTATGTTGTTGAATTTTAGCCCATAATGGTTATCTTATCATGTAGAAGGAATTTAATTATTTGTTATTTTGCATCTATTAATGTATTCGTAATGTGTAAGAAATACTGAAACAAAAAAACAAAAAATCAGCAGAATATACCAAATTTCTTTAATCGATTAATCGTCAGTATAACTGATTGGTAACTAAAATAATCTTTTGTTGCAGCCCTAGTTAATTTCTTTATTTAGGACAGAAGCTCTACTTCTGCATGTGTTTATATGATTTAATACTATAAAAGTATTCAATTTAATTCCATTCAAAAATACTTCATTGCTTAAAAATGGAAATTAAATGTCATTGTAATTCATGTTGGTTCAAGTTCTTCAGTTATTGTAGATAACGACTCTAGACAAAGATGTTCTAGCTGAATGTGCAGTGAATTTTGTAAAGAATTAAATTTTTGTTTCAAATTAACATGTTGCAGGATCAATAATTTTTATTTTCAAAATTGTAAAAATAATTTTTCTCTAATTTAAAAAGTCCAACAGAAATTTCTCTCTTTGTTCTCTTAATTATAATAACTGGTGGACAAAAAAACTGAGCTAAAGTAAATAAACAGTGTTCACATGCAGCAATGAGGTCAGTGTCTTGGCCCGGTTCTGGGGAAACACGATGTCCATTTCACACGAAGCTCTGTTTGCAGAACCAGCTGAGAATCCTGCCAGGCGCGAGCTGACCCAGATGAAACCGCCATGACAAATACTCCTGTCAGAAACTATAAACGGGTCACATGAACTCACTCCGTCCCGGAGGAAAATGGATCACTAAAACAGAACGACCCAAAACGCAACGAGTTCTTCTTCCTTTAACTCCATTTCAGAAATGTTCCAGAAAAAACAAGGAAATTTCTGAGCTTCAAAAGTCACAAATGTTCAACTTTTGGAAATTTTCAGTGCATCAAAAGTCTAAAACTTTTTACTTTTTAAACTAGAAAATTTCTCAGATTAATCTAAAAACTTCTCAGTGTTTTATATCAAATGTTTGACTTTTGGAGTGTGGAAATTTTAACATTTTTTAGAGAAAATTCCTGAAATCAACCTGAAAATTTCTGAGTTTTACAGTTTTGGAGCTCAGAAATTTCCTTATTTCTTAAAAAAAAAAAAAGCCTAAAAAGGTTTCTGGGTTTAATTCTCAAATTTTTGACATTTCAAATTCATAAATTTCCTTGGTTTTCCTAAAAAAATTAAAACCTATCAAACTCAAACATTTCCAATTTTTCTCAAAAAATTTCAGAGATTAGTTGAAAAATGTATATGGATTTTTTTTTTATTTTTTTGCAGCTTGGAAATTTCTTTATTTTTTAAAATCTCCTGAGGCTAGTCTACACTTCTCTGATTTTTTTCTCACAAATTTTGACTTTTCAAACTCAAAGTTTTTTGCTTTTTCTAGAAAATTTCTGAGATTATCTAAAATTTTAAAATGTTTTTTCTCACAAATTTTCAACTAAGAAATTTCCAATTTTTCTCAACAGAATTTCAGAAATTAATAAAAAAAAAATCAAATTTTTGACTTTCGGAGTGCATGACATTTCCTTGTTTGTTCAAGAAGATTTATGATATAAATCTCTTTGATATATCATAAATCAAAATTTCTGAGCGTTTTGGTCAAAATGTACTTTCTTTTTCTTCTATAATGGCCTTAATAAGCGTTCAGACTTTAGAGAGTCAAACTGTTTCTGTCGTCTTTATTTTACTCGTGTATCTAATCAGGCTTTAATTACCACTTACCGATAAATCGTCTTATAAAGAACATTAGGCTGGTGTGTTTCCTGCAGCTAGTCAGTTGATTTTTGACTCTCTGCTGCCCTCTAGTGTAGGAAGCACAGGAATACATTAGACAGTAGATGACATCGGTAAAACCTCAGACATATTTGCAGACAAAAGGAGAAAATAAAAACCAGACTAATCTCAGTTTGATAGCTCATCGCACTGTTTTATTCAATTACTGACATCTCAGGAGAAGAGGAGAGCTTCGCAGCTCTGCAGTTGGCAAACCACTGTTTTGCTTCCTGTTTTTTTTTCTCACTGTTTTTAACTTTTATCCATTTTTTTTGTTTTTAGTTTTTCATAGCGTTGATGCAACACTGAAAAAAAGCGCTATTTCCAAACGAACACAGGTCCCTCGTTAGTGATATGTAAGAGGCAGAGAAAATCTCACCTGGACGGTTTTGCATGAAACATACCAATGAAAAAAAGGTTCAACCTTTTCTTTTGTCTTTTTTTTTCCTTTTTGTAGTTTCACATATATTAATAAATATCAATACCAATAAACACTCAAAAAGTAAAACCCAAAATATTAAGTCACAGGTACTGGAAAAAGCTCCACCTTTAAATCACAATGATAAATGTACAAAACAATAGACATCTCATATAAATGTTAATGTTTTTTTTTTTAAGTTTAGAGACTTAAATCTCACTTTAGAAGAAAGTAGTGGATAAAACTAAAGTCGGAGAATCAGTATTTCCTGAGGTTTATGGGTTCCCCTTTAAAGGCCAGAAGAGGGGAATGGCTTTCATGTTACCAGGAGATGTTACAACAGGTCAAAGTGAACCTTTCAGGGCACCAGTCGGATTAAGGACGAGGAGTTTTCCCCGACAACACGCCAGGATACTAAGTCAATACGAGCACTTATAGTAGAATAATAAATGTACCGACATCCCACCGTTCTCTGCTCACTGTTTAGGCCACCACAGGGTTTAAAACTGTTAAAGTCATCTTAATCCTTTATAAATCTTTGCTGGTCCACTTTGAGAAGTTGTGAAGCTCCCCCTTGTGTTTTTTTTTTCTCTTAAATATTACCATTTTAAATGCTGGAAGCCACCACAGCGCCGTCGTGCACGGCTCACTCTGACCGCGTGACCGAGTCGTCGGAGAGGTCACGATGCAGTGAAACAACAGAAAGCAAAAACTCTCTAAGCGAATGAACACAGATCAGGGCGAGGGGAGGATAGATGAGAGGAGCGGGCGAGAGGGGGGGAAAGAATAAGATGCAAAAAACAAACAAAAAACGCAAAATATTCTCAAAAACTGTACATGTAAACATCACACTTTCACTGAGTCCAAAACCAGAGAGGGAAAATACAAAGCTTCACACAGGTTTACAGTACGAACCCCTGCACAGAGCTACAGTCTCTTACCAGTGCAGGAGAGGCAACAACTCAAATAATATAAATAACAATAGAAGTTATACAGACCATCACAAAATGATAAGTTAAAACAGGCAAGGGCTAAAACCACTTTGATTTTTTTAACAGTGCTGTACCCACAGAAAAAGAAAAGGTTCAAAACATCTTTTATCACTCTTTGTACAGCTATACAGTACATTTATCTGACCACTTTAGCAATCCACAAGCTACCAGGGCATTTTAGTCAACACCAATAGATTACATTGTCAAGTCAATACAAAGAGCAAAAAATCATTGGGCGTCGTAGGGAAATATAACAAAACAACAACATGACGACAAGTTTTTTCGCTGTTGGTCACAGTAACTTCAGCACACAGCTAAACGTGTTTGCTCAGCGGGGGGTCGGAGGGCACGGGAGCCGATCTGCAGGCAGGGGTTTGGTTTGGACGGACGGGCCTCAGCCTGGCGCTGAGCTGCAGGTGGAGGGGAGCAGAGGTTCTGCTACGCTAACAAACAGGACGTGGAAGACGTGTGAGCGCTCGTCTGCGGTTACGTCCTGAGAGGTGTCGCAAAAATACCAGAGGAGGCGGCGAGCTGATTTTATCGGAAAAGATTCAGAGCTGAAGACGGTAAAAATGATCAGATCAGATCGATATTTAAACCTAAACTGTGTAGAAAAGCACACAACAGATCCCACATTGTCATTAATTAGATAAAAATGAAGCTTAACTGGAAAACTGAGGCTGTTTTTTTACAGTAAAGTTACACTGTAAAAAGACTAACAGTAAATTTTGTAATTTTTCAGTCATATTTCCACCATTTTATTCATACATTTATAAATGTCAGAGTTCCAAACTAAGTATTTAATTCAGAAGTTAAATATTTAGCTTATAGCTATAAGCAAAATACTTAGCTAATAGATAAATATTTAGTCAAATATTTTCTTATAGGCTAAATACTTAGCCTATAAGAAAATATTTAAATCCAAGCTAAATATTTAGTTAATATGGAAAATGGCTTCCCGATAAGCAGAAATGGAATATCAAAATAAAAGCTGGGTTTTGAGGGCCTCTATGCAAACTCCTATTTATAAACGGCACCAGACAGTCCGGTACATTTGGTTCAATTAAGGACAAAAACTGCAACATTTGTTACATTTTTAGTTGTTGCAGTTTGCCTTCACACTGCACTGTGCCAAACTATCCAAACTAATTAAAAAGGCTGTTCCCCTCCTCACCTGTGGGGGGCGCTGCACCAAGAACTACTGAAGGAAATAACAGGAATTGAAGGAAAAAACGAGCTTTAGTAGAACTAATGTTTAGTGCTTTGGGGTCAGCGTAACTAATGTTTTAGGTAGCTTGACTTATATTTGCAAACCAAAGAACAACGTCCTTACGACAAATGGTGTGCTTAGTTCCTCCATATATGGTTTTACTTCAGTTTTTAATAAGTAATGGCACATATAATATGGAGTCTGTTGTGTATTTTTATAGACAAAGTTAGATTTGACTCAGATCATTTTTATAATGTCCTGATTTTTTAAGCCCTAGATCTGAAAGGTGGAAATTTTGTTATAAATGTATTGTGTGTATTGGTTTTCTTCAGAAATTTATCTGTTAGCACTTCATTCTCCTAAAATTACAAATTTATTCAGATAATATTGTGGCATTATTCTCGTATTATTTCAGTTTTGTAGTTGTATGACTTTATTCTCACAATAAAGAAAAAAATATTGGCCTCCATCATAGAGTTGACCCAAATCCAACATCAAAAATAAATAGAAACCGTAAAACACTCTTGTAAAACAAAATGGC